TCCCAGAACAAGCTGTTCCATCATCTTTCCAGGGATGGAGGTGAGGCTGCCCGGCCTGTAGTTTCCCGGGTCATCCTTCTTGCCCTTTTTGAAGACTGGAGTGACATTGGCTATCCTCCAGTCCTCAGGCACCTCACCTGTCCTCCAGGACCTTTCAAAGATGATGGACAGTGGCCCAGCAATGACTTCCCCAAGCTCCCTCAGCACACGAGGGTGCATCCCATCCCGCCCCATGGACTTGTGTATATCCAGTTTATCTAACTGATCTCTAACGTGCTCCTCGTCAACCAAGGGAAAGTCTTTCTTCCTCCAGACATTCTCTGTTACCTGCAAAGTCTGGGACTCCCAAGGACTAGCCTGAACAGTGAAGACAGAAGCAAAGGTGGCATTTAGCAACTCCGCCTTCTCTGCATCATCTGTCACCACGGCACCTGTCTCGTTCAACACTGGGCCCACATTTTCCCTAGTTTTCTTTTTGTCTCCTATATACTTAAAGAAACCCTTCCTATTGGCCTTGACATCCCTCGCCAGGTTCAATTCCAAGGCTGCCTTGGCTTTCCTTGTTTCCTCCCTGCATACCCTGACAGCGTTCTTATACTCTTCCCAAGTGGTCAGCCCCTTCTTCCACCTAGTGTAAACTCCCTTTTTCAAACTGAGTTTTTCAAAAGGTCCCTGCTCAGCCATGCAGGTCTCCTTCTCCCCTTGCCTGATTCCTTTCTCTTTGGGATCCACTGATCCTGAGCTTGGAGGAAGTGATGCTTAAATAGCAGCCAGCTCTCTTAAGCTCCCTTACCCTCTAGAGCCCTAGAGCCTCTACGCTCCATCCCTCGTGGTGTTCAAGGCCAGGTTGCACAGGGCTTGGAGCAACCTGGGCTGGTGGGAGGTGTCCCTGCCCATGGCAGGGGGTGTGGAACTAGATGGTCTTTAAGGTCCCTTCCAGCCTAAACCATTCTATGATTCTATGAATGTTTTCCTTTTCCAGTACCGAGCTGCAAATGAGTTCTCCAAAATCATCACCTGCATGTGCTGCAGCAACAACAAAAAAAAACCCAACAAAACATTATATACCCTAAGAAGAGCATTAAGGACAAGACAAGGGGTATACAGTCCTGCCTCTTCCACGTTTTTTGTAGTGTATGCAGTGCTGGTCACCATGTCTCTGGAAGGGTGTACTGCAACTAGAGTGGGTCTAGAGGCTGCACAAAGGGCTGGGAGCTTCTGGAAGCTGATTCCCCAGGGAGGGTTGTGGGGGTTGATGCTGTCAGCTAGTTCAAAGAGAAATTAGGCAAAAGTGTGAACAATGTGTCTAAAAGCAGATGTGAAAGGGAACATGCTTAATGCAATAAATCTAGATGCCGGGAGGCTGGAGGCCATCAGAAGTGGCTTGGTTTGTGTGTTGAGCCCAACTCCTGTGCCACTTATGGGGTGAGTTGGATTGAACACTTCTCAGACCCAGTGGGAAATGCTGTCTGACTTCCCTTTAGCTCTTACTTAGGAGTTAAAGTAAGAGGTAAAGGTAAGTTATACAATGATCTCTTGGTCAAATACTTAGTCAAAATGGGCACCTCCCAGCCCCAACCTTGCTTCCGTGTCTCTGCTTCACAGAACCCTTAAAAATGGGTCCGTGAGGGATGTCAGCTGTGCTTGCAGTCCAGCTCTCTCCAAGCTGTGATGCCTGAAAGCTCCTGCATCCTCCCACAACACGAACACGATCCCCTTTTCACTTGCATTCAACACATGCAGTAAGGGTTGGGTTTCAAAATGCAGCTGCTGGGATAGCAATGCTGAAAGTGGAGCATGGGTTTTGCGTTGGGTTTGTGGTTTTGTGTTTTTTTTCCCCTCTGTGTGTTGTCTTAATAGCCAAAAATTATTTGTTTACCCTGGACATCAGTGATTTCATGAACATCATGCATTTCACACCTTGCAGGACTTCACAACCCAGCCCATCATATCACAGAACAACACAGTGGTTGGCGTTGGAAGGGTCCTCTGGAGATCATCTAGTCCAACCCCCCTGCCAGAGCAAGGTCACCTACAGCAGTTGCACAGGATGGTGTCCAGGTGGGTTTGGAATGTCTCCAGAATGGGAGACTCCCCCACGTCTCTGGGCAGCCTGTGCCAGTGCTCTGTCACCCTCAAAGTAGAGAAGTTTTTCCTCATGTTCAGACAGAACTTCCCATGTTCCAGTTTGTGGCCATTGCCCTTGGTCCTGTCACTGGTCACTGAAAAGAGTGCCCCAGCTTTGAGCAACCTGGTCTGGTGGAAGATGTCCCTGCACAGGGCAGGGGGGTGGAACGAGATGGTCTGTACAGTCCCTTCCAACCTAAAACAGTCTATGAGTCTATGATTCTAACCAAACTGGTCCTATGGTGATCACTACTGGGAAGCTCTGAGATGTTCGTACCACCCAACCCTATGTCCACCTTCCAATGTGGCAATGCAAGAGGCCTCAAGATAAACCAGTAACAGAGACAATCACCATCAGCCCTTAGGCAAACATCTTCAAAGAGCTCAAATAGAATCATAGAATGGTTTGAGTTGGAAGGGACCGTAAAGATCATCTCGTTCCACCTCCCTTCCCTAGGCAGGGACACCTCCCACCAGCCCAGGTTTCTCAAATCCCCGTCCAACCTGGCCTTGAACACCTCCAGGGACGTGGCAGCCACAGCTTCTCGGGGCAACCTGCGCCAGGGTCTCACCACCACCCTTGCCCTTGGTTTGAAAGGGCTGTGAGTGATTGACAGGCCCCATGGATGATGCAGCTCTGACCTGGGTTTGGCAAGAGGCAAAGCAGACAAGGAGATACAAAGCCACTCAGAAGTCTGTCTGTAAATGCCCCAAATTCCCTTAAACTCAGGATGCCCAAAACCTGAGTGTGTTTGCAGCTTTTTATATGTGCGATGGTTTCAGCGATGTGACTTTGGGACAGATTCCAGCCAGAGCATGCTATTTCATGTACACAACCCCTCGAAATTTTGGCAGGGGGAGGGAGGCTTCTTGCCCTCTGTAAGCACCCTGGGGGTATCCCTGGATGGCGGAGGTCCACCTTTAGCTACCTGCAAGATGAGGCTTGGTGTTTCCCGAGGGTGCAAACCTCTGTCAGTGAGCATTGCAAACCCTCCTGCTGCTGGATCCGCAGCCCAGAGTTGGCTGGGGACATGGGAGGTGGGGATGGAATGGGGTAGATGCAGCTGGAAAAGGTGGGGAGCCTCCTGGCAGACAGAGCTCTGGTGGTGAAGGGCCACCTAAATCACGACCAACTGGCAAAACTCCGGGGACAACAGGGAGGAGGGGTCAGTGCAGGAGGAGGGATGAATGCCGGGAAAACACGGGGCACGTCGCTGCAGAGGAGGGGACAAACCTGCTCTCGCCACCCACAGCACCCAGCTCAGCTCACAGCTCACACTGGGACAGTCACCCGTCCTAAGGCACATGCGATAGGCATGAGGTTTTCGGGACGTTGCCTCCTGTCCCTGCACAACAACCTGGCTGGTTTCGCTGGAGCAGGGCTCCTCATCTACCTGGCATGCCTCTGCGGTGAGTGGCTCTTGCACAGGGAAGAAGCATCTGAGGAGAAAGACGGGGTTGGAGATCTGCAGGAATAGAGGGGGGGTGACTGGGCTTGCAGATGGATGGGCAAAGCCTCCTTTGACCCACCAGCCTTTAAAAGGAAGAGAAAGTGGCAGATAGGGAAGGAGACCTCATTAGCTGGGGAATTATCCTGGCCTCGGTGCTGCTGCCTTTGCACAGAGCAGTTGGGAAATGCTTGGAGCCTCCCCAACTGGTGACAGTCAGGATCAGGAATTGCTTATTTGCGTTGGCCACCTCTCCAGGGCCGGCCAATCCGTTTACAAAGGGCACAAAGTTCTCTTCCCCGCAGCACAAACAGGAGCGTTTATTCAGCTCTGCCCCCCGCAGACACAAAGGTTTGCCAGGCGCTGACCAGTTGTGCTGCAATTGGGATGCCAAGGTGCTTTTCTTATTTTTTTTCTGCCTCGTTTTGCATCCCCTTCTCCAGGAGATGCTGCGACCTTTACCCAGACCCTAACCCGGCACCCTGCAGTGGCTCGGCCACTCCAGCGCTCACTGCCACAGTGATTAAACACCTCATATTTACCTTTTTTTTTTCTTTTTTTTCTGCAGTTTCAGCCCATGTAATGCTCTCCTCTAAGACGCAGCTCCACTTGGCTTGGGGCCACAGGCCAAATTGCGTGCAGGCTTTCTGTCGCCTCATGCAAATTGCTAATTAAAGCACCGGGTTGCACACACACAGACCCCCCCCTTTCCATCAGACAGCTGGAGGCTATCCCCTACGTACAGTTTTTCAGAGTTTTCAACCCAGCTGGCAGTCTTTTCCTTTACACTGATTGGGAATACTAAGCAAAAAACCCCAAAAACCTGAAGCCCCTTTAAAGATAATTGTCTTTCAAAAAGGGGATTTGCAGAGCATTTTGTCTCCTGGACTTGGATTTTCCTTTTTTTTTTTTTTTTTATCCTGTACGACAAATCCTGTGCAGCCATCCTCTAGAATTTTTTTTTTTAAAAAAAGGGGTTGTTTTTTTTTTTTTTACACTGGCTTGGGTTTGGGAGACTTCCCCACTGTTATCAATGAAGCATTTATAAGAGCACCAGTTCTTTTGAAGTTATAAAATAAAGCTGTGCAGTTGTACAAGCAGGACTCATGAACTACGATAAATTTGTGACCTGTCTAAAACTTCAGTACCTACCTAATCCCTGCCTGAGATTTTAAGAAGACTTAGAAAAAAACACCTCAGTAATCAGTCCCCTTCTCGTACCATAGCAGCTACACAATGAAATAATTAATTTCAGAAAGTTTCAGCATGTCTATAGTTCACATAAGCCACCGCCATTGGCAGAGGCTCCGTGAAGCTTGTGCAAGTGACGCAGCGATTCCCAGCACTGCTATTCCACACCGGACCCTCTCCATATCCCTCTTGCAGACCTGGTTGCTTCCCAGCGGGTTCCCCTCCGCTTGTCAGATGGCCCGCACCGCTGCGCCGGCAGGGTTGAGGTCTTCTACAAGAACCAGTGGGGAACAGTGTGCGATGACCACTGGGACCTGGAGAATGCTGGTGTGGTGTGCCGGCAGCTGGGCTGTGGCACGGCACTGTCAGCCCCCGGGGCTGGGCATTTCGGGGCAGGCTCTGGTCCCATCTGGCTGGACGACGTCAGCTGCATGGGGACGGAGGTTGCCCTCTCTTACTGCAGGTCGAAAGGCTGGGGAAAGAACAACTGCCACCACGGTGAAGATGCCGGTGTGGTATGCTCAGGTGATGCCCTGTGGAAATTATGGGGCGGGGGGCGTGACGACAACACATGGTCTGCAAAGCAATTCATGTTGCCCCCCCCAGTTTTCTAAAAGCTCCCTCTGGCACAGAGGCCCCATGACCCCAGCAAGGGATGGGTTTGTGGTTTGCCCCGTCCAGGGGCACTGCAGGCTGGGGAGCAATCTGTGAAGCGGGCTTGGAAACGTTATCTGTGCTAAATCCACCTTCCTGAGATGCTGAAGGGCTCCTGGAGGATGCAAAGGGACCCCTTGTGCCCCACATGCCTTCACAGTGAGCAGGACCCTGTGGGCCTCGCTTTGGCTGCATGTTTTAGGGACAGGCACAGGGCTAGAGACCCGTTGTGTTTTGCCGGCAGGCGCTGTGAGACGCAGCCTTAGGCAGGGGAGAGAACAGGCAGGAGGAGACACCCAGATTCCTTCTCATCACCAACATGAGAGATAGGATGGTTTCCATGCCCTTGCCTCTGGCAAGTCACAATCAGCTAGACAACACTCTTTTATGGCCACAGAATGCGAGGCTCCAAAAGCCTGGAGCTTCAAAAGCTTGGAGCTTTGGTGGCTGATCGAGGTGCAGACGCTCATGGCAATTGGTAGATGCTGGAGCCACCTCTGCCAGAATTGTCCCAACAGACATCAGCACACAGGTGTGCTGAGCCCCCTCAGTTGTCACCACCACCTGCAAAGAGGACATGCTGCCCCAAGAACACCAAGAAAAAAAAAATTCCTCCTTCTCCTGTCCCAGCATCCTCAGGATCTCCAGCAACAGCTTGAAAGACCGTGGGTTGCTGGGACATGGCATCACCCCCATCCCAGTCCCGAGGTGGCTGCGCATTTGTACTGACTGGGCACAGCCAACAAACATGGTGGAGTGCAGAATGGTCCTGCAGAAGTGAGGGGTAAGGGGGTTTTCACGGTCCACCTCTTTTGCCCTCTGTAGACTCATCCAGCCACCCTATGGCCATCCAAGCCGGTCCTGCAGAGGTCCGCCTAGTGAACGGCCCAAACCGCTGCTCTGGAAGAGTAGAGGTGATGCACGACCAGCAGTGGGGAACCGTGTGCGACGATGACTGGAGTTTCTCTGATGCCAGTGTGGTGTGCCGGCAGCTGGGCTGCGGGACAGCAGTCTCAGCCTATGGCGCTGCTCACTTTGGCCGGGGATCAGGACCCATTTGGCTGGACAATGTTCAGTGCAGTGGGACCGAAGGTGCCCTGTCCGAATGCCCGGCCAGACCTTGGGGTGTCAGCAACTGTGACCATGGAGAAGACGCTAGTGTTGTGTGCACAGGTAACATCATGCTTGCGGATCAGGAGAAGTTCAGCAGAGCTCTGCTCTGAGGATTCGTACCAATTTCAGAGCTGCAGCCAAGGGCTGGGCAGCAGACCGTTGGGTGGGTGGGGGACCTTGTCACCCTTGTCCCATCTCCTACAACATGCCATGCTGGCATTCTTTGGCACACACTGAGGAGTAGCAGGGATAATAGGAATGGAACAATGCCCTTTGGGCAGCACACAAAAAGTGTTCTCTCATGGGCACAAGGGAGAGAGGGGAAGCATGGGACTAGGTGCTAGATGCTCCTAGCAAGATCCCAACCCACCATACAATGGGGACCAGTAGCCCACAGGCTGTGCAAAGGTGGGGTGTGGGGGCCCTGAAGTCTGTTTGAAGACAGGGAACCAGCAACAGGGGGCCTGCAGAAAGTCTCTGCCTTTGGGGGCTGCTGTGGCCACATGAAGGGTTCATGGATGGCCACCTGGGAGGACTGAGAAAAGGATTGTAACCATTTATGGTTTGCTTGCGGTCCTGTTGGACGTGCATGGGCTCTGAGGTTACACGGCTGGTTTTACCTGCACCTGTGCTGTTTAGCCCCAAACATTAGATATTCCTCAATGGCTCTGTGTGGACATGAGAACGTCCATGGAGCATCCTCCAGCACAGGTCTCACCATGGTGGCAAGAAGAGGCACAATGCAGGAGACCTGGTCTGATGTTCCCCATGTGTCTCATGTCACGAGCAGGCACAGCCACCAACACACCAGCTCATCTGCGCCTGGAGAACGGCCCTGGCCGCTGTGCGGGACGCGTGGAGGTGCTCTACAACCATCAGTGGGGGACGGTGTGTGACAACGGCTGGAGCCTGGCTGAGGCAGCGGTGGTCTGCCAGCAGCTGGGCTGCGGGACGGCTGTCTCGGCCCCAGGCTCGGCTCACTTTGGGCAAGGGTCTGGCCGCATCTGGCTGGATACCGTGAACTGCACGGGAACAGAAGCCAGCCTCTCTGAATGCCAGGCCAGGCCGTGGGGATCCAACAGCTGTGACCACCACAAAGATGCTGGTGTGGTGTGCTCAGGTGATCCACGTTAGTTGGGATAAGTACTGTGCGGGGTTGGGGTGCAGGATAGGCTCAACTGGTACCCCAGGACCCTCCCATAGTCATTGTTGACCTTTGGATCCTCCCATAGTCACTGTTGACCCCTGGACACTCCCATTGTCACTGTTGACCCCAGGATCCTCCCATAGTCACTACTGACCCCAGGACACTTTCTTAGGCTCCAAGCCCCAAGCTCTGGAACTGCAACCCCTCTTTATCCATGCCAATGAGAAGCAAATCCCAAGCCAGCCCTGTCCATGCAGCACCTTTCCCAGGCAGCCAGACGCTGCACGCACAGAAGGATGCTCTGCTTTTCCCATGGCTTGGCACATAGCAGAGCCCAACTGGAGCAGTGGCTGATGGTCAGGCATCACTGTGCCCCTTCCCCCCTTCACAGATGTGGACACTTCAGGGCAGCGTCTGCTGCGGCTGGTGAACGGCTCCAACAGCTGCCTGGGGAGAGTCGAGGTCTTTCATGACCAGAAGTGGGGGACCGTGTGTGATGATACCTGGGACCTCTACGATGCCGCCGTCGTATGCAGGCAGCTGGGCTGCGGGACAGCACTGTCAGCACCAGGCTCGGCTCATTTCGGACAGGGGTCAGATCCCATCTGGCTGGATGACATTCATTGCCGGGGGACCGAGTCCACTTTGACCAAGTGTGAGCTGGGCAACTGGGGAGAGCACAACTGCGGACACAGCGAGGATGCCGGCGTGGTATGCTCAGGTAACAGCAGGCTTCAGGGACCAGGGCGGATGAGTCAGCAGATGGGTGCTGGAGCTGCTGTTCTACCCCAGGGCCATGCCAGGCTCTCTCCTTTCTGCTCACTCGTTCCCATCCCCAGCTCCACAGCAGAAGTCAACTTTCACCCAGCTGTTTGGCTTGGAGTTGAGCAAAAACGCCACCCTGCCTTAGAAAGGAATTATGCACCTAACTTATACTGATTTCATCTAGACTACATCCCGCAGGCTCATCAACAACAGCATCCTGGGATGGGCAAAGCCTTTCTTAAAAAAAAAAATAATCCAGGCGCACCTTTCCTAGACGCAGGAATCCAGTGCCACCATAGAATCATAGAATCATAGAATTGTTGAGGTTGGAAGGGACCTTTAATATCAACGAGTCCAAACATTAACCTAGCCTGACAAAACCACTTCTGAACTGTGTGCCCAAGTACCACATCTGCCCTTTTTTTAAACACCTCCGGGGATGGAGAATCCACCCTCTCTCTGGGCAGCCTATTCCAATGGTTCATAACCCTTTCAGTGAATTTTTTTTTCCTAATATCCAATCTAAACCTCGCCTGGCATAACTTGAACCCATTTCCTATTGTTCTATCACTTGTTACTAGGGAGAAGAGGTCAGCCCCCACCTCTCTACACCCTCCTTTCATGTAGTTGTAGAGAGCGATAAGGTCTCCCCTCAGCCTCCTCTTCTCCAGGCTAAACAAACCCAGTTCCCTCAGTCGTTCTTCGTAAGACTTGTCTTCCAAACCCCTCACCAGCTTTGTTGCCGGGGAGGTGGGTGTGGGTCTACCATGAGCCCCATCTCACATATACCAGCCCTGTGGTGGCGTTGCTTATTAAGGCACATTGCACAAGGGGATGGAGTAAGGCAATCCATGCCTCGTAGCTGCTCACGGATGCTGGTGGCTTGCCTGCAGCAGGGTACCAGGAAAAAAATGCCCGGGAGCAAGTCAGAAGCTCTCATCATCGTATGGGGTTGGAGGCACCACCTTACCCCTTTGTGCTCTTCCTTGCAGGCACAAACCCCTTACAGGTGCGGGTGCAGGATGGCCCCGGTCCCTGCGCAGGGCGGGTGGAGGTGCTCTTCAACGGTACCTGGCACGGGGTGTGCAGCAGCAGCTGGAGCTTGGTGGAAGCCGGGGTGGTCTGCAGGCAGCTGGGCTGTGGACCAGCCCAGTCGGCGCCCATTGGAGCCCAGCTGAGCCATGGGGACGGCCATGTCTTGCTGGAGGGTCTAAACTGCCGGGGGTCCGAGTCGCTGCTCCTGGAGTGCCAGCAGAGAGAGATGGGCCCGGGGCCTTGCAGGCAGGGCTCGGCAGCCCATGTGGTGTGCACGGAGCAGAGAGGTGAGTGCTGGGACTCATCCCAGCTGCTGCGTCATCCCCTCTGACTGTATCGAGGCCAACTCAGTGCAGACTCATGGTGGGGTGAAGGCTCCTTTCTCCATCCCACTCTTAGCCTCCTCCCAGGCAGGCAGAAGCGTTGCCATAAACCTTTTTGCTGGGAGGCGTTAGGTGGGCAGGGTAGAGGCACCTGAAGGCAGAGGAGTGGGACCAACTCGGTGAAGGCATCTTAGTGGGCACGGAGAGCCAAGCATCCCTGGTGGACACGTGCTGTTTGCATTAGCCCAATGGGGTTGGTGTCCATGCACCCATCCTCCCGAAGCAGAGGGTGAGCCGTCACTCCTGCTGAGGAGGGTCAGCCTAGCACCCCAGATGTTGCAATTCCCCAAAAACATGCAGCAGAAGGGAAGAGTGAGTGGGGAAGAGAGGGTTGGGCCATCCAACCAACCTCCTCTGAGCTTCACACTTCCTACAGACCTTGTACAGTCCTGCTCGGTGCTGGCAGGCCTGCTTGGCATGGGGGCAACGCTCTGTGGGACCCTGTTGGTCCTGTACCTGTGGACAAGGTGTGGAAGACGGGCTGGACGCTCCCCAGGTAAGAGCAGGACCACAGCACATGGTGCACCTGGCCTGCTTGCGGAGCTGGCTGGACTCCTGGCTGGCATAGATGCACACCAGGCTGGGTCTGGGGGTTGCACCCTCCATGCATCACCCTGCTCCTTTATTTTGCAGACAAACCACTTATAATGAAGACAGAGGACACCAGGATATCATCCGAGGCTTAGGCAGCCACGCTCCTGGTGTCCAAGGCAAGGCTCCCTCAGGACCCCAGAAGACCCCGTTCTGTGGAGCCAGAAGAATGGAGCAGTTGCTGTGATGGGTCAGCAGAGAAGACCCCCTCTGGCAGAGTGGAAACCCCTGCCTTGTGTGCCCCATAGCCCCCAGGTCACTGCACTCAGCCTCTGTGAGTCCCAGTTCCTCTATGCAGCATTGTGAAGCCCCTCAATCTCCGAGGAAGGTCTTCTCAGAATAACCCCTATCTGGTCCTCTGGATAGGCTGCAGCATCCTCACCCTATCTGAACAGACTCCTCTTATTCCCAGCCCTATAACTGCTATAATTCCTATTCCCAGCCCTATAGCCCCCTATAATCCCCTGCAACGGCACCCAGTGCCATCACCCTCACCGCACTCCCTCCCTTTTTTCCCTAATCTCCCATGGAAGTGAGGATTATTTCCTCACCCAGGAGAAGGCGAGTAGGGTGCTCTCCTGCACTGTACACAACCACCTTTGTGAAATGAGGAGTGCATTTAGAAGCCCATCCAGAATGGGGGGAAACTCCCTCACCCATTGTATTTATTCAATCCACTTTTGAATACCAGTAAAAATCCTAAAACCTGAAAGACTGAGAATGCAGCATTATAGAGATTCAGGGATATGGAGTGACTTGGTGAGGTGGAAGTGGTGGAAGAATAGGCCCCTTGGTTACAGAGGGATTGTAGATGATCGGGTCAGATACAGGAGATTCAAGATTGCTAACACTGGGTGAGATATTCTTCTGGCCACCAACAAGGAACAGTCACGTCCCTAATGGAGCAACCCATGGAGTCTGGTCTGAGCCCCAAAATATCCACCATCTTTGTGAAGACAGGAGGGGCCATGGTCAGAGGAATGTCCCAGTGCCATGGGAGGGAATGAAGGGACCAAAAGCTTGACCAGGTTGTGATGAAGGAGTGCCTTGCAAGCTGAGTTGATCTCTGCACGAGGGCATGGAAGGGAGAAGACACACGTAATGAAAGAGTCACAGCATGTATTTCAATGCCCTTCAGGTCTAGCCTTCCACCTTTCCTTGCCTCCCACCTTTCCTTGCCTCCCAGCCAGCAGCTTGCAGCTGTGACCAGTTCACTTGTCCTAAGCCCCAGCCACAGAGCCCCCCTGGCCAGGTGTCTCCTGTCCACATGTGGCTGCAAGGTCATCTTCAGCTCCTCCACAGACATACATCCCTCCTGGGACTTCAAGGTTTCTCATCCTCCTGCTGGCACTCGAGCCTTCTCATCTTCCTGCTGGCTGCCCCAGCAGACCTGGTCCTCTAGCCTTGCCTGTCCCAAAGCCTACATCAAAGTCCCAGGGCTCCTCCTAGGTCTAGACAGAGTGACGTCAGAACAGGGGAAAACAGAACCTTGGATGCAGTTTTGTGCAATAAAATATGTGCGCCGTTTGGAGAAGGTCTTTGTTATAAAGCTGGGATGAGTTGATGCTCTTCAGGGCTTCAACATCATGCAGGATCAGCACCTGCTAGACCCCAGCTCGGGCCACGGGTTACACTGCAGAGATGCTCTGCAGGGACTGCAGTATCTCAAGAAGGGGTTTCAGGCTTCCCAGGGGGACACAACACCCAAATTCAAAAGCAGCAGAAGGGACATAGACATGACTAACTTCCAGAGTGGCCGTTTGTCCAAACTGTGAAAACAGCCCCAGGAGAAATGTCCTTCCCAGAGCTATGTCACCCACGTCAGGCTACGACAGTTCACAGCATTTCCGTGCCGGTCGGTATCGGGAATCTCTTTGCTGCTGGCCTGTTTGTTTGCAAAGAAGGGGAACAAAGTCCTTGGGCTCATTGAGCCTCGGTACAAATGAATACAGTCACCTTTCCCGACTGCTTGACTTTTAAGAGATGAGTTTTGACTTGTTTCCAGCCTAATTTTCACCCACTCATTCTTGTACCTTTGTTTAGCACACCTCCTTCACCTTTCGGTCTTCAGCCCTAGTTCTGGGGTTTGGGTTCCTCCTGTTCCTGTTTGATCTCCTTGCAGGCAGCAATCTATTCTCCACTCCGCTACCCCTCTCAGATTTTGCCAGGCTGAACAGTTAAACTCAGCCTGAGACCTTCCTGCCCACGCTGTCCTCTTCCCATTACATGCTCCAGTTTTTGCTTCTTATTTTCACACAGACATGGGGAGAACCATCCACCCTATTTCTGGCAGGGGTCACATCCTTGCCCAATGCAAACCCCAATTTCAATGCACCACCAGCACAGCACCCACATCCACCTGAACCCTCCCATTGGGAGCAACAAGTGACATTAATTTGATGATCATTTCACAAAACTTCTTTCCAGCAGCACGCTGCTCTGCCTTTCCTTGCACAACTTCAGCGTACCACCACGAAAGGATGGGAGGACAGCAAACTTCCATCTTCTCAGCATCTCAGGACATGCTTGGGGCAGCACTTTGCAAGGGATGTGCCTGGAGCATCATCTGCATAACAGCAATCGGGAAGCAAACTGCTAATCCAAAAAGGACCCTTGGAGTCTTGCAAGCGCAGCCAGGGTAGGATAAGGCAATGGCAGTTTCCCTTGTTTTCCAAACCTGACTGAGCCGTCCAAAGCATCGCAAGGTGGCTGTGACACCCCCTCTCATCACAGATGATGTCCAGGCTCGCCTGATGTCAAATGGCTACAGTGCAGGGGCTGGCTCCAGCCTCCACAATAAAGCCATTTCCAGCCTTTAGTGACCTATTTTCTTGCAGTAGATGGCCCCTCACCTCCCAAAACCCAACCAGACACTTTCTAATGAAGCTAACATAGCTCTATTTCCCCAGTTCTGTGCATTAAGGCTTGATTTAGCCTGTCAAAAATAGATACCTTGTACCACGGTAGCTGAGGCGGCCACAGGGGCTGGCACGTATGAGACGGGATCTGAGTGTCGAGAAGGTTTTGTTTGCTCCACATTTTCCTGGAACAGCTCACTGTTTCGCAAGCCGATGACAAGACTGGCTGCTGCATGGGGCAACGGGTCACCTCCTGGCAGAGCTTCACAGGAGGCGAAGCTCCCAGGGCGGGAGCAGGGCGGAGGAAGAGGAGAGCTCACTGCAGAACTCCCAGTTTGCTCTCCCAGTTTCCCAGTGGGACACCAAGCTCTGCTGGCATCTCACAGGAGGACAATCCACTCCAGCCTCCAGCCTGTGGCCAGGCTGCGAACATGGGGATGCTGACTGGTCTCCATCCCTTGCCCAGCCACCCTGGGGACAGAAAACCCACTCATGGAAGGACCAAGAGCACAGGGACCATCCTCCTGATGGCATGCCTTTGGGGTGAGTGGTGTTCGCCTTTGCTCCTGACTGCAGGGAGCCCATCAGCCATGTGGGCTCCTGCAGCCTGTTCAGCTAGCACTTTGTGGAGCACAGCAGAGGCTGGTTGGGGGTCCTGGGTTTTACTCAGGGGTCTTGGGCAGTGAAGAATGGCTTGTGATGGCTTTGGAGGTGGGTGAAAGATTTTTTTTTACGCAAAGTCTGGAGCTTATTTACCTCTCCTGCACTCCAAGAGCCACACATTGCAGGTCTACTTCTGCACGCATGGTTTTGTCCCATAATCAAAGGCTCATGCCCCACAATTTTAAGTTTGTGAGCATAACAAAAGTGGAGGGAAGCATGCCCTATCCTGAAGCTGTCTCACAGCTGGCTACGGCCTCCTGCCCTGCTTTAATCTTGGCTTATCCCAGACCATCCATGGCAAACTTGCAGCATGGAGGGGGCTTGGTCAAACCCAACAGCACTCTGCATTAAGAGGGGAGGCTCCCCGTCCAATGGCGAGGTGAGCAAGTAGGAACCCACATTGCCAGGACAAAGCTGGGTGGCTCATGGCTGTGCAGCACAAGGAACCCAATGTTTGTTGGGCTAATGGGGTAGAGAGACAAGATGCCGGCAAGAGACATGACCCTTGTGCTCAGGCAGAGCTGTAAGGAAATGTCAGACCCTTCAGGTCCCTTATCCGCAGCCATAGTTTGCTGTCAGACATTGGTGCAAAGATGGGGAAGAGCTCTGCTCCAAGAGCAACGTCATGCTGATGGTTAATGGCAGCTTTGCTTTGGAAATGGTTAAGAAAGGGCTTAGGGCTTTGTCCGAGCTGCCCTAGCTCAGAGCACAAGCTGGTTATTCGATTTGGGCAGCCTTCCTAGTGCTGATTCACATTTACAAAGGGCACGAGCAGAAACACTCTTCTGATCGGGTCTGGAGTGAGCAAAATTAGGAACATGCTTTCCCTGCTGGTAGGGATTTTGTTTTCATTTCCAGGCTGATTAGTTGCTGAGGGCAGTTTGTACCACTGCCCCTTGGAACTAAAGTTTTACTTTAACTCACTTGGGTATTTTCCTTCTCCAGTGATCTATTCACAAACACTACAATCTTCCCACTTTTTTTTTTTTTTTTTTTTTTTTTTTTTTGGAAATCCTGCTCCTGGAAATTTCAGTACAGTCTTTGCCTCTTCAATGGTCAGTATCTCCTGGCTTGCTGGAGGCATCTGGGCTGGGACTTGTCCACAGTCAATGCACACGTGGCTGGGCAGTGCTTGCAAGAAACATGCCAAGGAATATATCAACTCTGCTAAGTCTCAGCCGCAGGGCTGATTTATTGTTAATACAGGCAGCCTCATCGCTTCTAGTAAAAATAAGGAAAGCAGAGCAAAAAGCGCAGGGGGAAAGCGGGGAAAGGATGAAACAGACGAGCCATCCATGGTCAGGACTGTGCTCTTAGCCTGGGCACAGGAGAGACTGCAAACTCGCAATGCATCGGGTTCAGCCTCCTTGTAGAAATGACTTTTGAGGGGCAGCTTTGCAAAGACACTTTATTGCAAAGAGGTTTTCCTGCTCCCCACTGCACAGCCCCAGTGAAAGAGCTGAGCTACGCACTGCCGCCCCCAGCATGCCACAGCTGCCCAGGTGCTGTGCCTGTTTGAATGACTCAGGGATTTGATTTTTAACCTGTTTCATACTCTTTCTGGCCCTGGTGACTTCCCAAGTGCTACGTCTGGCCTCTCGCTTGCTGACAGTCGGACCCGCACACAGACCAGTGCCTGAGCACTTCGGAAATCATTATCCACGGTCAAAAAGCTTATTTGCACAATGCAATCATATCCCTTTTGAACTTTTTTTTTCTGGTGACCCCGTTGAGCTCTCCATGTGACTAACTTCTAGTTACAGCTCCTTTCTGCACGGTCTCCCTTTGGTTAGTGCTCTTGCAAAAGTGTGCCTGTGGGACCAGTGGCAACTTCACATTGTGGGTCTTCGTCCTGCCAAGACCCTTAGTTCAAGCACTTTTTCACTCATCCTTGCAAGGTGGCCACACAGCTGGCCCCCAAGGCATTACCCAGCCTTGACGGTGAAGTTACATCTTTGCCGCTTGTACAAAAAAATGCATGAGATCAAATACCCATTTTTTTCTGCCTATTGCATGAGCAAGAAAAGGGCTCCTGGGGTGTGGGATCCACACTGAGGTCAATTCAGGGTTTTAGATGCAGAGGTAGGGCGTGGTTGTCTAGAGATGCCCAGGGCCATCTGAGATGTCCAGGGCAGGTGTGGGATTCTCAACACCACCTCTGAGAGCATTTTTGGGGGTAAAAGTCATCTCAATGTGTGAGCAGCTGGGCTCCATCCACCCCCAGGGTTTCACCTCTCCTCCTCTTTCCCCTCTTGGCTTTGCAGGCACAGTTGCTGAGAGCCCAGGGAGGCTTCTTCGTCTGGTGGGCGGCCCTGACCGCTGCGCTGGGAGGGTGGAGGTGCTCCGCAATGGGACATGGGGGACTGTGTGTGACGACGGCTGGGGTTTCCCTGAGGGCCAGGTAGTGTGCCGGCAGCTGGGCTGCGGGACGGTGCTGTCAGTGGCACCAGGAGTTCGGTACGGAGAAGGAACAGGACAGATCTGGTTAGATGAGGTCAACTGCACCGGGGAGGAAAGGGGCCTCTACGGATGCCGAGCGAGGCCATGGGGGGAACACAACTGTCACCACGTGGAGGATGCCAGCGTTGAGTGCTCAGGTATCCCAGGACAGCAGCCATCTGGCTGTGCACCACCTCCACCCCTGCATCCCTTCCTTCTGTACTGCCGGTCATGCACAACTGTTCTCCAACTCTTCCCCTTGGGGCACCCTCAGACTCCAGCGTCACCACCCTGGGGACCCTCCAGCTGCTCAACGGCCCCAACCGCTGCGCCGGGAGGGTGGAGGTGCTCCACAACCACATGTGGGGGACGGTCTGCGATGACGGTTGGGACCTGTTCGACGCGGAAGTGGTGTGCCGGCAACTGGGCTGCGGCACAGCGCTGTCGGCCACCAATGGGGCTCGCTTCGGGAGGGGCCATGATCCCATCTGGTTGGATGAGGTGAACTGCACTGGCACCGAGGACACCCTCTTCAACTGCCGGGCCAGCAAGTGGGGGGACAATAACTGCTTCCACGGGGAGGATGCTGGAGTGATATGTTCTGGTAACTCACCTCAAGGTGCAAGAGGGGTCAACATCAGACTTTCAGGGTTTCCTAAGGGATCATGGGATTGCTAGTGCCTTCCCCCTGAGGGTGCTGTCCCGTGGCATCCCCTTTGCAGCTCTGTGGAGCACCGGCAGCACACAGGTGGGCAAGATGCCTTGCAAAGCCTTTTCCCACCTCCTGCTGCCGTGGATCCAGTGCTGGATCCACAGGCTGCCCAGAGAGGTTGTGGAGTCTCCTTCTCTGGAGATATTCAAAACTGCCTGGACACAATCCTGTGCAACGTGATGTAGGTGAACCTGCTTTAGCGGGGGGGGTGAATTAGATGATCTCCAGAGGTCCCTTCCAACACCGACCATTGTGTGGTTCTAAGCTGCAGGAACAGCAAAGGGCCATTTGTTTGCAGTCGCATGCATGAATTACGGAGAACCTACCTCAAAGCCTGGTTTTCTGCAAGCATAACTCACCCTCCCCAGCTCCTGCCCATCCAGCCAGGCCAGCTCTGTCTTGCCCATCACCTGCGCTTCAGGGCTTTTGGTGAAGTTTTTGATGCATATGTAGCTCAGCTCTTTTATTTGGGCTGTGCAGCAGGGAGCAAGAAAACGCCTTTGCAATCAAGTGTCTTTGCAATCAAGTACCTTTGCAATAAGGTGTCCTTGCAATAAAGCCTCTTTGCAAAGCCACACCTCAAAATTCACTTTTAAGAGGATGCTGAGCATTGGGGCTACTTCGTCTCCAGTTTGGGCACTCACCATGCACAGAAGATGCTCAGGCTGGAGCAGAAGCAGCCATGGCTCTCCCGGTGCACTTACCCTTGTGTGTTGTTGGCAGCTTCGGGGATGTCCGTGGCTGTCGAGCTCCGTCTGGCCAACGGCTCAACGCGCTGCGAAGGCAGGGTGGAGATCACCTACAATGGCACCTGGGCAGCCCTGTGTGACGATGGCTGGGGTCTGGCCGAGGCTCGAGTGGTGTGCAGGCAGCTGGGCTGCGGGAGAGCGCTGTCGGTACATGTTGGGTCACATTTTGGGCCAGGACCCGGGCAAACATGGCCCGAGAGCATGAGCTGCATGGGCACGGAGACTGCCCTCTCTGCGTGCAAGGCAAAGCCCTGGGTCAACGGCACTTGTCACCATGGGAGAGAAGCCAACGTGGTATGCGCAGGTAAGCCCCTTGGGAGTGATACAGCACAAGAAGTGGTGGGTCTTGGTCTATCACATTGATTTTCCACCTCCACAAGCAGCCCCAGACAATGTGCCCTCTTTGTGGGCTTTTCCATCACGGGGTGGCATGGGCTATCCAGGGGGCTGGAAAAATTTTGGGCATCCTCCTGGAGGGATCGGTGCCGATGCCAGTGGGTGGGATGCTGCTGCGGTGCAGCTTGCAGCTTCTCGCCCCTTACCCAGCCAGGCACTGGTGATCAGCCAGCTCCTTTTTGAGGTGATTAGATGAGTATGCAGCACTTGGTGCAACACTCAGCAACCTCAGAAGGTGCTGGAGCAATTTTCCTTGCCCAGAGGTCACAGCATGCCAGCCCTTCCCCATATTTCCCTCTTTTAGGTAACTTGGAGGGTGACCAGGTCCAGCTGGTGAACTATGGCAGCCGCTGCGCTGGCCGGGTCGAGGTCTTCCATAACAAGCAGTGGGGGACCGTGTGCGATGACAACTGGGACCTGCTGGATGCTGAGGTTGTCTGCCGGCAGTTGGACTGTGGGCGAGCGCTGTCGGCCCCTGGCGGGGGTCAGTTTGGGCGCGGGGTCGGCATCATCTGGATGGACGAGACGAACTGCACAGGGATGGAGAGCACTCTGTCCGCCTGCCGGGCCCGGCCGTGGGGCATCAATAATTGCTACCACGGTGAAGATGCTGGCGTGGTTTGTTCAGGTGACCAATGTTCCTTCAGCATTGCTCTATGCAAGGCAGTGGCGGGGGTCACGATGGCTGGTCTGTACCCCCAGATAAGTCTGGGGGTGAGCATCAGTAGCCAGTGGGGTTTTCCTGGACCCTCCCTGCACCTGATTGTCCCATCAGAGGGCTACTCTTCCCACCTTCTGGAGAAAAGGCTGAGAGGAGACCTTATCGCTCTCTGCAACTACCTGAAAAGATGTTGTAGAGAAGGGGGGAAGTCAATCTCTTCTCCAAGTAACAAGTGATAGGACAGGAGTAAATGGCCTCAAGCTGCCCCAGGGGATGTTTAGGATGGATATTAGGAAAAATTTCTTCACCAAAAGGGTTGCCAAGCACTGGAACAGGCTGCCCATGGAAGTGGTGGAATCACCAGCTCTGGAGGTATTTAAAAGACGGGTAGACGTGGTGCTGAGGGACATGGTTTAGTGGTGGTGTTGGCAGTGTTAGGTTTAAGGTTGGACTTGATGATCTTAAAGGTCCCTTCCAACTTAGACGATTCTATGATTCCAAGATCCCAAGGTGTTTATTTAAGGTGGTTGGAGGCATTCCTCGGGGATCCCTATTTTCCACCCCTCCCACAACCTTCCAGCTCTAACAACAGGACCAACTCATTGCAGGGAAGCTCGTTGAAAGCAACCCGCCTGGCCAGCAATTCTTGCAGGAACTGGGGCTGGGGTCCAGGAGGTTGCAGGGCCAGCGTGGACCACCCTCTGCAGGGAGATATTCTGGTGCAGGGTGCTCCTGGGGGGAAGCTTCAGGTGGTGGTGGGGAGCCCTCCTGTTCTCCCCTCCTCTGCTTTTTGACAGCTTTAAGAGGGGCCAGGAGAACTGCAATATCATAAGCATGGAGGGAAACTGGCCACCATCTGAAGGCATTAATAAATCTCTTGGATGTTTGCAGACTCAATCATCCCCGAACCAGTGCATCTCCGGCTGGCGAATGGTTCACACCGCTGCGCTGGCAGGGTCGAGGTGTTTCACCAGGAGGAGTGGGGAGCCGTCTGCGACCGTGGCTGGGATAAGCAGGATGCCGAGGTGGTGTGCCAGCAGCTGGGCTGCGGGACAGTGCTGCCAGCATTGGAGGGGGTGGACTTCGGGGCAGGACCCTCGCGCGTCTGGCTGGACAATGTGAACTGCCAGGGGACAGAGACGACCCTCACGAAATGCCAAGCCAGCCCATGGGGAGAGAGCAGCTGCAGCCATGGAAAGCATGCCAGCGTGGTGTGCTCAGGTGGGTTTCACTCCGGCACCAGCAGTGGGTCAGGATGCATCCGTGATATCCCCCATCCCACTCAGTTGGGAGGAAGGTGCCAACTTCACCCTACCTGCTGCTGGGTCAAGTGCCCCCAAGCCCTTAGAGACGTGTCTCCACAGGGTGGGGATGAGATGCTGTGGGTTCAGAGGTGACGTGACCATGCAGCATCGGCTATGTGCCAAAACGCAGGGTCCTTCCTCTTCCCGCAGAGAGGCTGGATGCTCTGAGCATCTCCCTGCCTGTTTGCAGGCTCGGCTGTTTCCAGCTTTGCCCCAGTCCGGCTGGTGGATGGCCCAGGTCACTGTGCCGGAAGGGTTGAGGTGTTTCACAGTGAGAAATGGGGGACGGTGTGCGATGACAGCTGGGACTTCACGGATGCCAAAGTGGTGTGCCGGCAACTGGACTGCGGGGTGGTGATATCGGCTCCACGGCGGGCTCACTTCGGGCAGGGACAGGGACCCATCTGGCTAGACGATGTGCGCTGCATAGGGACAGAGGCTGCCCTCTCCGAATGCAGAACCAAGGGCTGGGGCGTCCATGGATGTGAGCACGGAGAAGATGCTGGTGTGGTGTGCTCAGGTAATCACCACCTGTCATGGCACCAGGAGCCACCTTTCCACAGTCCTCCTGCACTGGGGTTTCACTCTGTTTTCCCATGTGGATGCAAAGGCTTGCAATGCAGGAGCAGTTTGCAGCCAGCGGGGAAACCTTTTGCTTTGAAAACAGCCCTTCATGTTGCATCCTGGTTGGAAGAGGGCCACATCTGTACACAGACATTAAAGTCTGATAAAAAACCAAACACCTTGCCCATTTGCACCGCTATCATCAAAAATATGGTCTCTGGCTTTTGACTGATATGATTTATCATAAATCCTGGCAGTTAACATGGGCCAGAGACCATTCCCATCAGGCAAATTACAACATGGCTGCCTACTTCTTCACAGCGGGGCAGACTGCAGTAAGAATTGGTCTTCTCCCATTACCGTCAGGGACAACTCTCCGACACCTTTGTTTGATCCATGGTAGACGTACCCTGTGATGCTCAGAGCTGTGTGAGCCCATGAGAGCCCATCTCCCATTCCTCTAGCTCCTCTCCAGCTCTGACTTTCTGCCAGAGGAACTCCACAACCCATTTCAGTGGCTGTTAAGAAACTGGGGCCACTGAGCTGCAACCAGGTTGCTTGAAAACAGCGTGAACTTCGCTCAATATCCATGTGTCACTGACCAGTGTTGAATTCAGTCACCCCAGCATGGGAAGGTAGCACCTCACCCTAGTTGAGCTAAGAGATCCTACAGAAAAACATCTGCCCTTCAGGAGCAGCAGCTGGAAGGCAGGTGAGGTATCCCAGGAGTCCCAAATAGCAGAAGGATGCCTATGTCTTGTCAACTGCACCCTGCCCTCTGTGTCTGCTTTAGGAGGGCAAACAATATAAAGTCCATTGACTATAGTCTGGTCAAGCCCATGCTAATCAAAGCCTTGGGCAACACTTGAGCCAGATCATATCACACCTCAAAGGCCACCTCTGTCATCACAAGAGCATCCTCGACCCCCTATGCTGCTTAGCCTCTGGTGTAAACCCACTGCTGTCAGTTGGAGGTTTCATGGGGCACAAGGTATCTTCTTAACATGCATACGCTCTCTGGTGTTGAAGAATCAGGGATTTCTGACCTTGGAATCCTCCGCCTGGTGAACGGCTCAGACTCGTGCTCTGGGAGAGTTGAAGTGTTTCACGATGAGCGCTGGGGTGGCATCTGCACTGACGGCTGGGACCTGGCCGAAGCCCAGGTGGTGTGTCGGCAGCTGGGCTGCGGTGCGGCGCACTCGGCTGCGGGGTCTACCCAGTTTGGGACAGGAAATGGCCTGATCTGGGTGGATGCCGTGGAGTGCACCGGGACGGAAGGGGCCCTCTTCGAATGCAAGGTCAAGTTCTGGGGCACCAACAGCTGCAAGTCGAAGGGGCACGCCAGCGTCTCATGCTCTGTGGCTGCAGGTCAGTGGCGGTGAGTCAGGGATCGGTCCTCCCTTGGGGGAGGCTGTCTGACCAAATTTGACCATCCAGTTCCTCCTTGTCATGGCTATACCATCCCTTGTTCCTGCAGTCCCATCAGGGAATACAAGGTGTTTTCCATTTCGAGGTCTACCAGTCTCTGGCATCCCTGAGGCAAAGTGCTTGGAAATCCCAAGCCTGGGATTTCCAAAAATCCCAAGCCCATAAGATGTAGGCTTTCCATCACACACAAAGAGCCCTGGCCCACCAGGGCTGCACACCCAGGTGCAGCAGTAGCAGAAATGTTACATGCTGGTGGAAACCTTGCAAGACCCCTTGCAAGGGGAGGTCCACCAGGTTGCCAGGCACTGGACAGGCAGGCATTTCTGGCCAGGATATATTGTCCTCCACTTCTGTTTTTAGATGTGGGCCCAGGAAGCTTGGAAGCCCTACGGCTGGTGAACAGCCCGCACCGCTGCGCTGGGAGGGTGGAGGTCTTTCACAACCAGCAGTGGGGGACCATCTGCGATGATGGCTGGGACCTGAAGGATGCAGCTGTGGTGTGCCGGCAGCTGGGCTGCGGGACGGCCATGTCGGCCCCAGGTTCATCTGTTTTTGGGCAAGGATCTGGCCTCATCTGGCTAGATGGGGTGAATTGCCTCGGGACAGAAGCCACCCTCGCTGAATGCCCGGTCAAGCCTTGGGGACACCATGCATGTAACCACATGGAAGACGCCAGCGTTGTGTGCTCAGGTAATCCTCATCACATGTTTTTACTGTAAGAGGGACCAAGCCCCGTCCTTCTGCAGGCTGGGAACAGCTTGGGAAGAAGCTGGCCCACAAATTGACCAGATTGGTAGAATCTGTGTTAAAATAAGAGCGTTCAGAGATGCTGGGAAAAGAAGTAGCATCGCTTAAGACATGCCTCAGTGTCTGGTACTATTGGAGGCGTCTGAAATGTTTTCATGGGGTGAAGCACCTTCGCTGCTGGCACTGTGAAATGCCAGAATACGCAGATAAATGCACAAAGGTGCACCAGAACCAGCTGCTCTCATGTGATACACCACTTTTGAACTAGCTGCTGCCAGTCTAGTCCTGGCCTTAGAAGGTCAGCCTCCACGGACAGGTCAATGTGGGCAGTCAGAAGCAGTCAGGACAGGGACAACCAGAAAAAGATCCTTTTCCATTTCCTCTAGAGCGAGAAGTGGGTAGTGCCAGGTGAACCTAGGTGATGCAGCTTCCAAGCTTTCTCCTGTCCCAACCTCTGAACCAGGGTGCAACCAGCCTCAGGGTGAAAATGGTGGAAAGAACCTTCTGCAGCGCCTTGCACCCTGCAAAAACCCCTGTGGTCACTTTGCTAAAGGGCAAGGGACGAACAAAGTCTCTGCTGCACGACCATCCAGAACAGCCATAGGGATGTCCTGTCTTCTCCAACCCACCAGGTGTTAAGATGCACAGACATATAATTAATAATGCCCATTTTTTTTTTTATTTTTCAGGCTCGGGGATTGCCAGCATCCCCAGGCTTCGCCTGGTGGGTGGTTTGAGCGAGTGCGCTGGCAGGGTTGAGGTGTTTTACAACAATGAGTGGGGGACGGTCTGCGACGACGGCTGGGATCCGAATGACGCGGCAGTGGTCTGCCGTCAGCTGGGCTGTGGGGTGGCCCTCTCGGCCCCCGGCTCAGCTCGGTTTGGATGGGGAGCTGGCCCCATCTGGCTGGATGATGTGAGCTGCACAGGGGAGGAAACCGACTTCTTCGAGTGCCGAGCCAAGATGTGGGGCGTCCACAACTGCCACCATGGGGAGGATGCCGGTGTGGTGTGCGCAGGTGAGAGCCGGGATGAGGCTGGGCAGAAGCAGAGCTCCTGGCGGTACCCAGGGCTAGGCAGCTTGCCCCCTTTGGAGGAGATGCCATGTGCAGGGCTGGTGTAGGGGCTTCGTGCAGCTCTCACCCATGTGCATCTCCTGGACCTTCACCTCAAGGCCACGAGCAAGGTCCTGCACCTGAGTCGAGGCAATCCCCAGTATCGGTACAGACTGGCGGATGAAGGGATTGAGAGCAGCCCTGAGGAGAAGGACTTGGGGGTATGGGTGGATGGAAAGCTGGACATGATCCAGCAATGTGCGCTGGCAGCCCAGAAAGCCACCGGCAGCCTGGGCTGCAGCCCCAGCAGTGTGGACATCAGGGCGAGGGAGGGGATTCTGCCCCTCTGCCCTGCTCTGGGGAGACCCCACCTGGAGTACTGCATCCAGCTTTGGAGTCCCCAACATCAGAAGGACACGGACCTGTTGGAGAGGGGACAGAGGAAGACACAAAGATGCTCCAAGGGCTGGAGCCTCTCTGCTGTGAGGAGAGGCTGAGAGAGTTGGGGGTGTTAAGCCTGGAGAAGAGAAGGCTCTGAGGAGACCTTATAGCGGCCTTTCAATATATAAAGGGGGCTTATAAGAAAGATGGGGACAGACTTTTTACCAAGGCCTGTAGTGACAGGACAAGGGGCAAGGGTTTTAAACAGAAAGAGGCTAAGTATAGATTGGACATAAAGAAGAAATTCTTTACTCTGAGGGTTGGTGAGGCACTGGAACAGGTTGCCCAGAAAAGCTGTGGATGCTCCATCATTGGAAGTGTTCAAGGCCGGGCTGGATGGGGCTTTGAGGAACCTGGTCTAGGTGAAGATGTCCTTGCTTACTGCAGGGGAGGTTGGACTAGGTGATCTTTAAAGGTGTCTTCCAACCCATGCTGTTCTATGAGTATTGGAAGTGTTCAAAGTCAGGCTGGATGGAGCTTTGTGAAACCTGCAAGATGTCCCTGCCCATGGAAGGAGAATTGAACTGGGTGGTCTTTAAAGGTCCCCTCCAACCCAGCCAGGCTTCAACGCCCAGGGTTTTGTCTTCCCCAGTAAAACAGCAGTACTCGGCCATGCCAATGCCTTTTGTACTCAATGATATCAACACCCCAACGTCAGCTCTGCCCTGCTCCTCCCTGGAGACACGTAGGATGCTGCAGGCGAGGGTGGTCCAGCGATGCAGGCAGGGGGTGGTCCAGGGATGTGGGGATGCCCTGCAACCACATGCCCACCTATTTCCCTCTCCCCAAAAGCAGGCAACTCCAGCTCAGCCGACCTGCGGCTGGTGAATGGGCCACACCGCTGTGCCGGGCGGGTGGAGGTGCTCCACACCGGGCAGTGGGGGACCGTCTGCGACGATGGCTGGGACCTAAACGATGCAGCGGTGGTGTGCAGGCAGCTGGGCTGTGGCAAGGCCATGGCAGCCTCTGGGCGGGCTGTCTTTGGGCAGGGGACAGGGCACATCTGGCTGGATGACGTGGCCTGCAGCGGGAGTGAGGACGCCCTCGCCCAGTGCCGGGCTCGTCCCTGGGGACAGAGTAACTGCAACCATGGAGAAGATGCCAGCGTAGTGTGTTCAGGTACGTCCCACTCCTGCAACATGGTGTGTCCCGGGAGAGCCGAGGGGTGTCCATCCTGCATCTCACTGCCTTCGAGGTGATGCTGCAGTGGGGTTGTCAAGCCCTTCCTGGGGTGGGCGTTCCTTTTGTCCTGGCCTCAGGCATTGCCACTGGCACCGTGTATGTGCCCAACCCATCATGATGTTTTCTGCGGTGCTTCCAGACACCGGTACAACCAACACATCGACTGTCCGGCTTGTGGATGGCCCACATCGCTGCGCTGGGAGAGTGGAGGTCTTTCACAACCAGCAATGGGGGACGGTCTGTGACGATGGCTGGGACCTGAGGGACGCGACGGTCGTCTGCCGGCAGCTGGGCTGTGGCGAGGCCATTGCATCCCCGGCAGGGGCTTCCTTTGGGAGGGGGCCGGATCCCATCTGGCTGGACAGGGTCGCCTGCATCGGGGGGGAGAGCACCCTTGTGGAGTGTCGGGCCAGGCCCTGGGGAATCAATGGCTGCAGCCACGAAGAGGATGCTGGCGTGGTCTGCTCAGGTGATGCTCATTCCTGTGGGGTCCTAAAAGCATAGTTTGGAGCCTCCTCACACACCCGAAACCAAGTCTCTCCAACCTGACCTCAGGAGCATTGGCTGCAGAAAGGAGATTTGCAGGGCACAGGGGCTCATCCCCTTGGCAGATGACATTGGTCCCCTGTCCCTAGATCCCAGTAGCGGCCCCAATACAAAAGCCCTTTGTGCAGACCCCCCATCGGGGACTGAGTCTGGAGGCCAAATGTAGGAGCCTGGTGGTGCTTATGAAGCCCCAAGGGCCATGTCTGCCTACACATCTCTGCAGGCAGGGCTCAAGCCAGGATCTGTCCTCCCATCCCACCGTGGCTGGGCATCTGCCCTAGGCTTGCACCCTGGCCGCTGCCACCAGAAAGGCCCCACTCTGGATACACAGTCTTCTTGTCCTCAATGTTGCGCCGCCTGTTTCTGTGCCCCCAGGTGTGGCCAGGGCAGAGGTCCGCCTGGCAGAAGGACCGAACCGCTGTGCCGGGAGGGTGGAGGTGTTCCACGACGGGCAGTGGGGGACGGTCTGTGACGACGGCTGGGCCCTGACCGAGGCGGCGGTGGTGTGCAGGCAGCTGGGATGTGGCAGGGCCACAGCAGCCTACAGCCGGGCCCGCTTTGGGCAGGGGACGGGAAACATCTGGCTGGATGACATGAGCTGCACCGGGACCGAGGACAACCTCGCCCAGTGCCAAGCTCGTCCCTGGGGACAGAGTAACTGCAACCATGGAGAAGACGCTGGCGTGGTGTGTTCAGGTACATTCCATCCAGTGACACAGGGCACTGGGATGGAGCACAGGAGGGTCTATCTGGCTGCCTCTGGGGTGATACCAGCTCTGGAATGGTGTGTCTTTTGGGGAAGGGGGCTTGCAAAGGATTGTGGCCTCTTTTTGGCCAGGCTTGTCCGCAACCCAGCAACAGGTTCCTACCCCATTCACAACCAACATCTCATTGAACCCTTTACACGCCCCCTCCCCATGGCACTAGGCAAGCCAAGCCGTCTTGATGGGACCACCAAATCCCCAGCCTGGTCTCCATTGCTTGGTCCACACTCTTGCATGGAGGAGACACCACAATTTTAGGGTATGAAGGTGCAACTGAAGCCCATCCCTATGGCTATGTTCCTCTGGAAGTGTTTGGGGCAGGTTACATCCCTTGCTCAGGGGGTGAGGGGGAACTGTGACAACTCTTTATTTGCACTCTGGGTTCTGGTTTGGGGATTATTGTTTTGGCGAAGTGATGGGTGCCCTGTTGTCCTTTCCTAACTGGCTTTCTCCCAGCAGGTGCCAACATCACAGACGAGGTGCAGGTCCGCTTGGCTGATGGCCCAAACCGCTGTGCCGGGAGACTGGAGGTGTTTCACCAAGGCCGGTGGGGGACCATCTGCGATGACAGCTGGGATTTGAAGGATGCCAAGGTGGTCTGCCGGCAGCTGGGCTGCGGGACAGCCGTATCGGCCCCGGGCCAAGCTCACTTTGGGCAAGGGTTGGACCCCATTTGGCTTGATGACGTGGACTGCACCGGCATGGAAACCACCTTCAGCCAATGCAGCCTCAGCAGCTGGGGAGTCCATAACTGCAACCACGAGGAAGACGCAGGAATTGTATGCTCAGGTGGTCCCCCAGGAAAACACTCAGATGCCCCATAAAAGGGTTTTATCAGGGACTGGGGACTGGCAGCACTGGTGGGACATCAGTGATGGGATCGACCTTGCAAGGGAGGTTGGGGGGATGAGTCGTGCACCAGGTACAGGTGGCAAACGGCATGCATGCCCATCCTTGCACACATGTGCGCCTCACAGGCCCCTCTCCGTGTGCCTGCTGGGTCGGAGGGGACATCTCAACCCCTTTGCTCCCTCTTGCAGGCACGAACCCCTTGCAGGTGCGAGTGCAGGACGGCCCCGGTCCCTGCGCGGGGCGGGTGGAGGTGCTCTTCAACGCTACCTGGCACAGGGTATGCAGCATTGGCTGGAGCTCGCTCGAAGCCGGGGTGGTCTGCAGGCAGCTGGGCTGTGGACCAGCCCAGTCGGCGCCCGTGGGAGCCCAGCTCAGCCGTGGGGATGGCCATGTCTTGCTGGAGGGGCTGAGCTGCCGGGGGACCGAGTCGCTGCTCCTGGAGTGCCAGCAGAGAGGGACTGGGCTGGGACCGTGCAGGCAGGGCTCGGCAGCCCATGTGGTGTGCACAAAGCCAAAGGGTGAGCGCTGGGATTCTCTATCATGTTCATGCTGGGTGGGGGGGAAAAGGTCTCGAGGCGAGAAGAAAGTGGGAAGGTGGCACATGTTCCTCCCAGCCAGCTCCTTAGAGCCTTTCCTGAGGGATGTGCCTCCTTTTCCATCACCCTTGGGAGCATCAGAGATGCTTCCCCAATCAAAACACATTCAATCCCTCCCATTTCTTCTTTGAGTCCAAATTTCCACATCCCCCCCAACCCTCTGGGCTCCCTCCAGGACTGGCCCTCGTTTCTCACAGGTTGTGGTATAGCTGGGACAACATTGACGAATGGAGGAGGGTCAGAAATAGGCTTGTGTGAGATGCAGCATCCCAAATCCGTAAGTGGGATGATGCATCGGGGAGCTGATGGAGGTTGTAAGAGCAGCAGGAACGTGGAAGGTCACTCCAACCCCCCCATCCCATCACCCACCCAGGGAAACTGGCGCCCAACTAGAGAGTTGGGCAGAGAGGAACCCAATGAAGTCCAACAAGGGCAAGTGTAGGGTACTGCATCTGGGGAGGAATAACCCCATGCATCAGTACAGGTTGGGGGCTGAACCTCCTGGAGAACAGCTCTGTGGAAAGGGACCTGGGGTGCATCAAGAAGAGTGTGGCAAGCAGGTTCGAGGGAGGTCATCTTCCCCCTCTACTCTGCCCTGGGGAGGCCACATCTGGAGTACTGCGTCCAGTTCTGGGCTCCCCAGTTCAAGAAGGACAGGGAACTGCTGGAGAGGGTCCAGCAAAGGGCAACGAAGATGATTAGGGGATTGGAACATCTCTCATATGAGGAAAGGCTGAGGGACTTGGGTCTTTTTAGTCTGGAGAACAGAAGACTGAGGGGGGATCTTATGAACTCCTATAAATACTTAAAGGGAGGGTGCCAGGGGGATGGGAGCAGTCTTTTTTCAGTGGTGCCCAGTGACAGGACAAGAGGGAATGGACACAAACTTGAATATAGGAAGTTCCATCTAAACATGAGGAAGAACTTCTTTCCTGTGAGGGTGGCAGAGCACTGGCACAGGCTGCCCAGAGAGGTTGTGGAGCCTCCCACACTGGTGACATTTCAAACCCACCTGGATGCCGTCCTGTGCAACTGCTGTAGGTGACCCTGCTCTGGCAGGGGGGTTGGACTGGATAATCTCCAGAGGGCCCTTCCAACCCTGACCATTCCGTGATTCTGTGAAATAGGTCTTACTGTGAAGCCTAATTAAGGAAAGCCCATCTCCAATGCCAGCTGAGCTGCTGGGGAGGTGGTCAGGTTGTATTCAGCGTTAGGTTTTCTTGCATGCCGGTCTTGGCTGGAAATGGAATCCCGAGTCCGTTCTCCTCCCCACCTCCAGGTGCTTCACCATCCTGCACAGTGCTGATAGCGCTGCTGGTCCTGGTGATGCTGCTGAGTGGGGTCCTGCTGTGGCTCAACCTGAAGAGGAGGTGCATGGCAGCAGCCCAGGCTGGAGGTGACAATCCCATCCCTGTGTCGTGTCCCCCCACCCCGCCACCCCAACTCATGCTCCTCGCTCCGGCCACCCCAAAAACCAGGGGGACACGGAGACGGGGATCAGCTCAGCAGCTGCCAGAGCCCGGTGACAGCCCGGTGTCCCCTCCATCTCACAGCCCGTCAGCACCACAGGGTGCAGAGCCCATCAGCGACATCCTTCCAGCCCATGGGGGCCATCTACCTCCCCACCAAGGCAGAAGCCACCGAGGATGCCGATACCGAGACAATGCAGCTCATGAAGGAAGACACTGCCTCATGATGCCAGACCCCCCCCACAAGCTCATGTCCTGGGGGTCACACCAGGCTCCCGTTGTGCCCCCCTTTTCCCTAATCCGCTTTCCAGAAGACTGCAAAGCAGCAGGACATTTTGAAACCAGCCAGTAACAAGGACTTATATGAGGAGCCCCAAAACAGCTGGCCAAGAGGGGTCTCCCAGGCTGGTGACGTTTATTGAACTGGCCTCGGGACCCTCCGGGCAGCCCCTGCAGCTCAGGAGAAGCCCCGTGAACTGGGCAAGCAGTGCACGGCTGAGCTAAAGGAGCAGAGAAGCAGAAGGATGGGCGCAAACAAATTAAAAGGGGATCCCCAACCCTCCAGGCATGACGGGTGTGAGTGCTGGGGGGGGGTACAATGATTTGAGCTGTTTTATATGAGGAGCCCCAAAACAGCTGGCCAAGAGGGGTCTCCCAGGCTGGTGACGTTTATTGAACTGGCCTCGGGACCCTCCGGGCAGCCCCTGCAGCTCAGGAGAAGCCCCGTGAACTGGGCAAGCAGTGCACGGCTGAGCTAAAGGAGCAGAGAAGCAGAAGGATGGGCGCAAACAAATTAAAAGGGGATCCCCAACCCTCCAGGCATGACGGGTGTGAGTGCTGGGGGGGGTACAATGATTTGAGCTGTTTCTGCGCTCCTCTGCCACGGCTTCCCCCAGACCTTGGATGGAGGCAAGACCCCCCCATTTCTTGACCGTTCGGGTGCCAGAGTTGCACAACCCCACAACCCCAAATACTCAGCCATCCTCCCTGGATGCATTTTGGGGCAGCCACAGAGCCCTATTTTCCTTGCCCTGTGCCCCTAACCTGTGACCATCCCTTGGGGACCCAACTGTGGAGAACCTCCCTTCTGAGGTTCTTGGGGCACAAGGCATGCTCTTGCCTGGTAGCTCGCAGCTCTCCGCTAGCACATCATGCCCAAGAGTGGATCCCAGTGCAGAGGGATCTTACTCTCAGCCTCATCTCAGGGTCCGTCAGGCTCCCAAATTGAGGGCGATGCCCCCAAAGCACCTGGGATGATGGGAGGGAGGCCAGGAGGCCCAACAAGCAGAGGTCCCAACAGCAGGAGATGGTGCCTGCCAAGGCAACTGCTGCCTTCCTTCCCAGAGATTGAAGTAAACATGGGTACATTGTGCCTGGTCCTCTCTCCAGCTTCTCCAGGGATGAGTAACATTTCCAAACCAGGGAAGGCACAGAACTGAAGGTTTTGCCACATTTCTCCTCCTTCCTGTGATGCTTCAGAGGGGCTGGAGAGCACGTTCCCCAAATTAGGAGCAAAATCAGAACCAGGGCTGCTTGGGGTCCATCACATCCAGAAATACACTGAAAGCCCCCCGTGTGAGCCCCTGTGCTTCTAACCCCAGACAAAGCTGTCCCCTATATTCTGCCAGAGAAACTCCAGGAGCTCACCAGATGCTGGAGCAAACATTTCAAGATGGATTGGAAAAGCTGGGCAGCGCCAGCATGAGATCACACCCCTAGGCCACGGCTGAGAGGGGAGCAGAGGATCTGCAGGACATCCAAGCAGCACAAAACCTGAAATAACTTCCTCCAGCAGTGAGGCCATCCCTTTCCTTGCCAACTGTCAAGCTGGGGTTGGCTATAAGGTCATCACGTGGTGACCTTATCCATCACTTGGTGACCACCATCACCTGGTGATCACGCAATGCATGATCCTAGCACAGGAGAAAAGCTGAGATGGGCATCTCTGGGAGCGTCCATGCTGGGGCTTGAACCACCAGAGATCATCCTCTCCCCCAATCTGAAATGAAGCAGATCAGAACGGTAAACCTCTCTTTGGCCTCCAGGATGCAACAGGCTAGAGAACCCATGGGGCAGGATGCCATCAAAGGCTGGGGCTTGTCCAACTGTGAGGGTGCACAGAGTCTAGCTACCACCTCCCTAGTGCCACCTCAGATGCCCTCAATAACCCTAGACACTCACAGGGGCATTGGCATATAGGACATAGGGACTATAAGAGATGCAAGCTCTCCTGGAAGAGGAGCTGAAGGTCAACTGGGTACCCCAGATCATCTCTGATGGCCTCAGCAGTTGAATGCAACCCCTATTGGAAGTGGTCAACGCGGATTTACCAAGGGTAAATCATGTTTGACCAATTTGATGGCCTTCTATGATGATGTAACTGGTTGGCTGGATGTGAGGAGAGCTGCAGATTTCATCTACCTTGACTTTAGCAAGGCTTTTGACACAGTCTCCCATAACATCCTCATTAGGAAGCTGAGGAAGTGTGGGTTAGATGAGGTGACAGCGAGGTGGATTGAGAGCTGGCTGTGTGACAGGACTCAGAGGGTTGTGATCAGTGGCACGAAGTCTAGCTGGAGGCCTGTAACCAGTGGTGTCCCCCAGGGGTCACTACTTGGTCCGATTTTGTTTAATATATTCATTAATGACCTGGATGAGGGGACAGAGTGCATCCTCAGCAATTTCGCTGACAATACCAAACTGGGAGGGGTGGCTGACTCTCCAGAGGACCGCGCTGCCATCCAGTGTGACCTGGACAGGCTGGAGAGCTGGGCAGAGAGGAACCTAATGAGCTTTGGTAGATAGTAAATTGCCAATGAGCCAGCAGTGTGCCCTTGCTGCCAAAAAGGCCAATGGCATCCTGGACTACATAGGGAAGAGTGTGACCAGTAGGTCAAGGGAGGTCATTCTCTCCCTCTACTCGGCACTGGTGAGGCCACAACTGGAATACTGTGTCCAGTTTTGGGCTCCCCAGTTCAAGAGGGACAGGGAACTGCTGGAGGGAGTTCAGCGAAGGGCAAGCAAGATGACTGAGGGATTGGAGCATCTCCCTTATGAGGAAAAGCTGAGAGAGCTGGGACTCTTTAGCTTGGAAAATAGAAGGCTGAGGGGAGACCTTATTATTGCTTACAAATATCTAAAGGGTGGGTTGAAGGAGGACGGAGCCAGACTCTTCTCGGTGGTTCCCAGTGACAGGACGAGGGGCAATGGGCACAAGTTGGAACAGAGGAAGTTCCGTTCCAACACATGGAAAAACTTCTTTACAGTTAGAGTGACAGAGCACTGGCACAGGCTGTCCAGGGAGGTTGTGGAGTCTCCTTCTCTGGAGATTTTCAAAACCCGCCCAGATGCAGTCTTGAGTAATGTGCTCTAGGCAATCCTGCTTTAGCAGGGGAGTTGGACTAGATGATCTCTAGAGGTCCCTTCCAACTCTGAAAATTCTGTGATTCTGTGATCTCCATCAACTACTTGGAGCGCTTGATTGAGCTGCTCCTACACAGCCAACATGCATCATTGGAGGTGCCCTCAGGTGGGTGAGACACCCACAGAGGCAAAAATGGGACATGGAAGAAACCTGGAGTGACCTAAATAACACTAGGTAGGCAGCCACCTCCTGCCATCAGCACCATCAGGTGCCCTTCAACTCTCATGTCCGCAGGTTTTTCCTTTTTTATGAGATTTCACACCACCCCGCCACCCAGCTCAGGACCAAGAGTTAAAGGTGAGGGTGACTTCAGGTGAGATATATCCTAAAGGGAGCTGACTCTGCTCTGGGGTTGGGGTGAAGGGGCCCCCACTGCTACAACATACACGATCTAGGTGCTTGATGGCCAATATGACATCTCTAGTGTCTCATCACAGCATGTTCAGGGTTGGAAGGGACCTCTGGAAATCATCTCGTCCAACCCCCCTGCCAGAGCAGGGTCACCTACAGCAGTTGCACAGGATGGCATCCAGGCGGGTTTGGAATGTCTCCAGAGTGGGAGGCTCTACCTCCTCTCTGGGCAGCCTGTGCCAGTGCTATGCCAGCTTCACAGAAAAGAAGTTCCTCCTCATGTTTAGATGGAACTTCCTACGTTCAAGTTTTTGCCCGTTACCTCTTGTCCTGTCACTGGGCACCACTGAAAAAAGAGTGTTCCCATCCCCCTGGCACCCTCCTTTGAGTATTTGTAAACGTTGAAAAGATTCCCCTCAGTCTTCTGTTCTCCAGACTAAAAAGACCCAAGTCCCTCAGCCTTTCCTCATAAGAAAGATGTTCCAATCCCCTCATCATCTTTGTAGCCCTTTACTGGACCCTCTCCAGCAGTTCCCTGTCCTTCTTGAACCAGGGAGCCCAGAACTGGACACAATACTCCAGATGTGGCCTCCCCAGGGCAGAGCAGAGGGGGAGGATGACCTCCCTCGACCTGCTGGCCACATTCTTCTTGATGCACCCCAGGATGCCATTCGCCTTCTTGATGACCAGAGCACATTGCTGGATCATGGGCATCCTGTTGTCCACCAGCACTCCCAGGTCCCTTTCCACAGAGCTGCTCTCCAGGAGGTCAGCCCCCAACCTGTACTGATGCATGGGGTTATTCCTCCCCAGATGCAGTACCCTACACTTGCCCTTGTTGAACTTCATCAGGTTCCTCTCCGCCCAACTCTTCAGCCTGTCCAGGTCACGCTGAATGGAAGCACAGCCTTCCGGTGTGTCAGCCACCCCTCCCAGTTTTGTGTCATCAGCAAACTTGCTGATGGTACACTCTACCCCTTCATCCAAAGCTTCACCAAGCCTTAAAGGGTGAAGGACCACCAAAGGCAGCCTGTTCCCAGGGCTGCAGGTGCACCCTTCCTTCTCCAGAAACACATGGACACAGCAGATCCCAGGATGGGAACCTCCTGAGATGTGTCCACCACTGGCTGGGCTACAGAGCATGTTCAGAGACAGGCTCAACCCCGAAATCAAATCACAACCCCATGACCCGCAGACTGGAACAACATTTGGACGAGGCGAGAGCTGCCCCAGTGCTGTCTCAAGGGCTGAAAGGGGAGGAAGTTGGGAAGCTGTGGGGCAGGGGAAAGAACAATGCAACCAGGAGGCCCACCACCATCTTTGCAGGGGGATCCACCAGCCCAAATCCCAAACACATCTTGCTGATCCATCTTGCAACCAACTTCTGCAGGGTACAGGCTCAGTGGTGCCATGCGAGATCCACCTCACACTCAGGATTTGGTGGGTCTCTCCTTCCCACCTCTGCCAGCAACACCTCTACCAGGTGACCTCCCACCCACGTCTGAAGGATCCTGGGAGAAGGTATTGGGTGGGAAGGAGGCAAGACCAGCAAGGACTGTACCAGCACCAAAAACGCACATCAAGACCCACCCAGACACAGCTACGGACTGGAGGAGGCAATGAGACAGAGCCATCATTAAATAACCATTCTGTAATTAGTGTGCAGAGCACTGAGGAGTGCACACATCCCACCCCCGCCCCTGTTCCCAGCGCTACAGGGACCATAAGAAACGGGGGAATGAGGTGGGACCCAGGATCTCCAGGAGTCCAAGGGACGGCACAAGGGCACCAGTGTGGGCAAGGACAAGGCTCCTCTCTCGCCCTCACGAGCAAAGGTCCGCATAACACCCTCTGCCCAGCAGCCATCAGCCAAGTAGGGACAAATCCAGGCTCCTGCAGCAGCATGGGGGCAGCTCTGGGAAGCAAGAGAGGAGGAGGAGGATGCAGAGGACTGGTTGTGTCTTGCTTGCCTGTACCCCATCCAGGTTCCTGCCTGGAAAGTCCCAGGAGCGGCTGGAGGACTTACAGCGCTGGGCGTCGTGTGCTGAGGCTCCCAAAGTGGACGGCAACAGTGTGTGTCCCCCCCTTTCTTCTGCTCCCTACCAGCCCTGCGGCAGAAAAAAAAGGGGGCGATTAACCAGGTCATTAGCAGCAGCATGAGATATGGACGGGACAACTGAACTCCAAAAGGCTTTAAGGGAAAAGGGAAGTGCTCACTCTTCCCCGTGATCCTTTCCGCTGCCTGTACCATCGTCGTACCTCTCTCCCCAAAAAACAGGTAGGTCTGTCCCCTCCTGCAGGCAACAGCTCTCCCTGGGAGCCCCTAGCTCAGGCTGAGACACGCTCAATGGGATGACTGGGGAGGGGGTCTTGGGATGACTTGGGGAGTCTCAGCCCTCCTCCCTGCATGAGGGTAAAGCCGGGCGCTCCTGCCTGGCCACCATGAGCCACAGCATGCCTGACAGGAGCTTGTAGCCACCCTGGCCCACAGGCCTGGGGAGGGTCCCACTGGGAACACCCCTCCATGGAGGGAGGAGAGCATGGCGCAGGTCCAGTTTCAGCGAAGGGCTGGGGCTCAGGAGAAACACCGCAGCTTTTCAGGGGTCCGCGCCAGTCCTCGGGCGCACATACGGGGTCCCCCAGCCTGAGGCTTGTCTGTCATCAGTGGTGGCATGTCGGCAGCATGCTTACGGCCGCCACGGCTTAGCAACACCGGAGCTGCGCCTAACACAGCCGGGGCCAGCCCTCGACACGCTGGTGTTGCAGCAGGTTGGAGGGATGAGCAAAGCCCTTGTCGCAGACACTGCACTTGTAGGGGGTCTCGCCCGTGTGCACCTTCTCGTGCACGGCCAGGTAGGCCAGGTCCTTGAAGAACTTGTGACAGAAGCTGCACTTGTAGGGCCGCTCCTGGCTGTGCACGCGGTGGTGCTGGAGGAGCAAGGAGGGCCGGGCGAAGGCCTTCCCGCACACCTCGCACTTGTAAGGGCGTTCTCCTGTGTGCGCCCGCTCATGGATCACCAGGTAGGACGACTGCTTGAAGGCCTTCCCGCAGGTTTTGCAGACAAAGGGGCGCTCACCAGTGTGTACCCGCTCATGGGAGGAGAGGGCATTGGACTGCTTGAAGCCCTTGCCGCAGAGCGGGCAGATGAAGGGGCGGTCGCCCGTGTGCACCCGCTCGTGCACCTTGAGGCTGTGCCCGTAGGTGAACTTCTTCCCGCAGACCCCGCAGACGTGGGGTTTGTCGTCGCAGTGCTGGCGCTGGTGGAGGAGGAGGGCGTTGGAGGTGGGGAAGTCCTTCCCGCAGTCGGCGCACTTGAAGGGCTTCTCAGCGCAGTGGGTGAGCGCGTGGCGCTGCAGCTCGTAGGGGGTCTTGAAGCTCTTGGCACAGCGGGGGCAGCGGAAGGGACGCTCGCCGCTGTGGATGCGCCGGTGCTCTTGAAGGTTGGAGGAGCGCTTGAAGCGCTTGCCGCAGAGCTCGCAGCGGAATGGTCGTTCCTCCGTGTGGACCAGCCGGTGGCTTTTGAAGTCCGAGTGGCGCTTGAAGGAGGCCTGGCAGAGGTCACAGCGGAAGGGACGCTCCTCGTTGTGGACCACCTCGTGGCTGAAGAGCTCCCAGGCCCGCTTGAAGGCCTTCTCACAGACGCCGCACTGGAAGGGCTTCTCATCCACTATCACCTCACGGATCTCCAGCTCACCGACACCGCTCGCTCCCCGCTTTGGGTGGGCCGGCAGCCCCACTGCTGCCTCCTCCAGCTCACCCACTGCACTCCCCAGTACCAGCTTGGCGGTGGAGTAGATACCACGCTCGTCAATCAGCTGTACAAAGTCCGGCTTGGGACGGGCATCGTCGGAAAGAGGCAGCTCAGGGGAGCAGGACCGAGACTGCCTCTCCTCCTCCTCTTCCTCGTTGCTCCGCGGAACCTCCTCCAGCCCGTTCTCCATCTCCCTCTGTCTGAAGTCACTGGTCCGGCTCCAGATCAATCGCAGCCTCTTCCCCCGGGAGGGTCCCGGCTCTTCAGCGCTCTCCCCCTGCCCCAGGGATGCAGGGACCTGGCTTGTCTCAGGCTTCAGGCACAGCCGGTGCTTCCGTCGGCACGGCCACAGCTCCTCCGGTGCCTGGTGGCACAGGGAAGCCCCCTCATCCTCACCCATCTTCTGGCAGGGCCTGCCTGCACCCCGAGGGGCTTGCCTGTGGCAGCACTGTCCCAAGTGGCGCGGAGAAGCTTGCCCCAGCTGGTCCGGGGAGCCTTCCCCCAGCTCTTCTCTTGGCTGCGCCCCAGCTGTGTCCTCCTCCTGCTCTTCCTCACCTTCAGGCCCATCTCCTTCAGAAAGCGGGGAGAGTCTTTGTGAAAAGGGGGGCTCGCAGGCTGGAGGACCCAGCTGCCCTTCCATGGCAGCCCCTGCAAAAATGAGAAAGCGTGAGCGTGAGAGGGACGACGGGCCGCCGGCAAGACCATGAGGGAGGAAGCGTGAAGCTGAAGATGTGGGTGGCAGCAGCACAGAGGGAGGTCAGAGGAAGACAGAGATACACAGGGAAGGAGGGATGGTGAAGGAGTGGGGGGAAAAGGGAGAGACAGACACTGCAGAGTTTGTAAAACCTGGTATCACCAATCCCTTTCCCCTGTGGGGGATCAAGGTGATGGGCAGACCGAGCACCAGAAAAACGTCCCAGACTGGCACTTTAAAAGCCTTTTTACCCATTAGCCTGTTATTTGCACCCAAAAGCAGCTGCTATTCATAGCACAGAGCAATTCACTTCCTTGCAGGACCTGCTCATAGTTACCTGGTTGAAGCAACAGTTGAGGGACTGGCCTCAACCACGTCCCCAGCCATCAGGGGCCATACGGGCTGGTCAGCAGCTTCCAGGCAGGGGTTTGAAAAGCTCTTCAGAGGGTGCTCGGTCTCCCCATGTGCGTATGTGACCCCTCGTCTGCGGCAAGGAGGTGGCAACCCTGACTCGGGCACAGGTGGTGGATGCAGAAAGGGATTCAGCCCCCAGCTCTTGCAGATTCAACCGCACGACTCTGCTCCGGAGTGTTGTGGGGGTGGTTTTTCAAATCACCTTCTCAACAAATGCTCCTCTTGTAGCCCAGTGTTTTTCCAGGCTCCATCCAAGCCCACTGATACCTCCGGAGCCTGACCTCTGGTCACACAGCTCGACAAGAGATGCTGGGCTCTGATATCCACCTTGGAGATCCCCTGGGCTGGATTTGCTGTCCCCATTCAGGATACTGCACTTGGATCAGTTTAGCCAAGGGAGGGGAAGAAGGCTAAAGCACGATCCATCTCCCAAAATCCCACGTGAGATCACACCCCACAAGGGCCTGATGTACAGGCAAGAGTGACTAGCTAAAGCAAGTTGCTTGGCTAAAGCTTGCTCCAAGCACCATGTTGCACAGAGGAGAGCGCTCCCACCGACCTGACATGGTGAGGGAGATGCCACAAAGCCAGATATCAAACTGCCCTAAAGGCGCCTGAGAAGGGAATCCCACAGCCGTGAACAAGGAAATAGCTGTCAGAGAATAAAAGGCAGAAGAGAGAAACGATGTGGGTTGGGAAGGCAGCATGCCAAAGCCTCCCAAGAACCGGTAAGTGCTGGAGACTTGCTGACACAGTTAGGCCCACAAGAACCAATAAACTCAGGGCACAGAGACAGCACCGAGTCTGCCTGAGGCCACTGGCCCATGCTGTCATCTGCAACAGGGCGTGTAATTTGGTATAGCTTGGTTGCTGCTATGAACAGATGGGAGTTTGTAGGATTACAGACAGCTGGTAACGCAGCAGAATCTTTCTGAGGGATTTCCCAAACCCCTCCAGCACCCTGATATCAGTGTGAGACCGCTGGAGGTGGGGATGGAGCTTCAACCAGGCAACGGCAAGGGGGTGAGCTACGAGTGAATGAGCTTAATGCTATTAATAACCACTTTGATCCCATTAAAGCTTAACAAGTAAAAGGTGCTCCAAGAAACGCTGCTCCTTGCCTGCGCCTCCCACTCCCGGATGGGTCTCGAGGAGCAGAGAAGGGAATTCACAGCCAAAGCGAGAAGGTTTCCAGGTGGGATTTCGTCTCACTGGCACGGAGTGAGTACCGTCAACCCCAAGGGTTGCAGGAGCACTGGGATGGAACACGCCGAAAAAGCAAAGCCAAGGAATCCCATGTTGAAAAGAGAGATGAAGGTGACAGTCGAATATACTATGAACAGAAAAGGGTGAAGGGGACAGCAAGCTGAATTAAGTGAGAGGGCTAGAAGTAGGAAAAGCCAATTAAAAAAAACCCAAACCAGCAGAAATCATTGTTTAGCCAAACTTAGATGAACATTTTTGCTGCCTGCTGAGGCACGCACTCACAAGACACTCCCATTGTTGTTTAAATGGCTCAGCCCTGAGTCTTTACTGCACAAGTAACACTGGAAGCAAAGATGAAGGCTCATGATTATCCTCGCCCAGGGCACACTCGCCTTTCTGGGATGGATTTGGACTATTTCTCGGCCAGGACTCTCACCCAGAGGCTGTGGAGATCTTCCCTTCGGGTTGAGAGTTCAGGGTGACACTGGGCAGGGGAATCAGAAAGCCCCCCAAAGCAGAGGGGAGAACGAACCTGCCATCTCGGATCCCCCTGTTCTCAAATCCAGGTATTAAAAAGAGGGAATCATCTGCTTGGACAGAAAGGGACGGCACAGAGCAGGCTGGGAGTGGGACATGGACATGTTGGGGCACAGCTCACAGGGGACATGAGGCAAAAGGCACAAACTTGAATATAGAAGTTCCATCTTAACATTAGGAGGAACTTCTTTACTTTGACGATGGCAGAGCACTGGCACAGGCTGCCCAGAGTGGTTGTGGAGTCTCCCACCCTGGAGACATTCCAAAACCTCCTGGACGCCATCCTGTGCAACCTGCTGTAGGTGACCCTGCTAGATGGTTGGACTAGATGATCTCCAGAGGTCACTTCCAACCCTGACCATTCTGTGATTCTGTAGGACGTGAAGGAGGAGACTCGCATGGGCAGGTGCTGAAGAGCCCTGTGCTGGGCCTTTCATTGGAAACACGCTTCCCCAGGTCTGAAAAAGCCAATTATTAGGGCTGCCTTTGCTGCCATCTGGACATCCAGCATGTCCTGACTGACTCACCACGGTGAATTCATTCAGGATGATAAATTCGGTGGTTTCTGTTGCTGTTTGATGGCCACAGTGAAGTCACCAAGAGGTTTTTGGGTTTCCCTACCTGCTGCAGCATTGGGCATAGCTACGTGGAAGCCCCTCAAGGGCAGGGAGATGTTAAACAGGAAAGGAGTGGAGCAAGACACTGGACTTACTGAGGGGCAGGAGAGACCCACCACCACCGGTTGGTTTAAACCGAGGAGTTTTGGAGGGTTCTGCTCTCGGGGAAGTGTACAGGCAGCACCCACAGACCTGGCGAGCCAAAGGAACAGAAAGGGGCAAAGCAAGAAAAGCACAAGGGTGGCAAGGGGATGTATTTGGGGGAAAAACCAGCAAGCGTCCACCAGAGCGGAGCTTCTACGTGACAAAGCAGAGAAGATTTGGGGGTGTTCAGCCCCACAGGGGTCCCCAAAAAGCTTACGTGCTCCTAAAATGCAGCAGGAGAGGTATTCCCCGGGCGGGCAGTGCCGCGGCAGAGCCAATCCCTGGGGAAAAGGGCTTTGGCGAAGACGGGACGACGATGAGTTGCCATTTCGGAGAGAGTCATGGGGTGACCGGTGCTACCCGCAGAGTGAGAGTTGGCTCTAAATAAAAGTGAGAAAATAAATTGGGAAGGGGAAAAAGACTAATTTCAGTGGAGGGCCGGAGGGGGAGCAAAGAGGCAGCGATGGAGGAATTCGCAGCAGTGGAAAAAGGCTCCAACCGCTGCTGCGTAGGAGCCACTGGGACAAAAATACACGATTTCTGTCATCCTCCAGTAGTGTCAGCGATGCCCCCAGCATTCCCAGTGCCCGTGGGATGACCAGGACCAGCACTCAGCCCAGTCCCTCACCTCTTTTCCACCTGCCAAACACCCCAGATACTGGGGGGAAACTGGGCTGTGCTGGGTGTATCAACAAGGATCCTCCCTGCATACCCTGGTATCATCCACCCAAGAACACAAGCCCTCCCAGCATGTCCCAGTCCTCCCCCCAGTATCACCCAGACACTCCCATTGCACCCCCCTCCCAAAACGCATTACAACCAAAGCCTCCCATACACCCCAGCCCCCCCCAGTATCAACCAGACTCTTTCATCTCGTTCTCAATCCCCATTACAACCAGATCTGTCCCCAGTATGTCCCAATACCCCTCAGCGTGACCAGACCCTCTCATCTCACTGTCCCCCTCCTTGCTGTTACACCCAGACTCCCCCAGCTGTTACACCCAGACTCTCCCCATTCCCTCCCAGTATCAATCAGACCCTCTCATCTTATCGCCTACTCCCATAACAACCAGACCCCCCCAGTGTGGCCCAATCCCTCCCACTATCAACCAGACCCCTTATTCTCTGTGATCCAACACCTCCATTAAAACCACACCCTCCTAGTATGCCCCAGTCCTCCCAGTATTAACCAGACCGCCTCTTCTCACTGCCTTCCCCCACCCCCATTACAACCAGACGCTCCAGCATGTCCCAGTCTTCCCAGTATCAAGCAAACCCTCTCATCTCATCGGCCACTCCCATTACAACCAGAACCCCCTAGCACATCCCAGTCCCTCCCAGTATCAACCAGACACTCTCATCTTACTGCCCCTCCCCCCTGCCTTTCCAACCAGCCCACCGAAGTATGCCCCAGCCCTTCCCAGTATCAACCAGACCCTCTCATTTCATTGCCCTCCTGCCCACCATTACAAACACACCCCCCCAGCACGTCCCAGCCTTCCCAGTATCAGCCAGTCTCCCATCTCCCCACTCCTGTTACAACCAGACCCCCAGTATTCCCCAATCCCTCCCAGTATCAACCAGATCCCTTCATCTCTGTGCTCCACCACTTCCATTACAAGCACACCCTCCCAGCATATCCCAGTCCCCCCAGTATCAACTAGACACTATCACCTGACTGCCGTCCCCCCTACCGTTACAACCAGATCTCCCCAGCATGTCCCAGTCCCCCCCAGGATCAACGAGACCCTCCCATCTCACTGCCCTCACCCCTAGCATTACAGCCAGAACCACCCCCCAGCATGTCCCAGTCCCCTCCCAGTATCCACACGCCCCCCCCCCATCACAACCAGCCCTCTCCCAGCATGTCCCAGGCTTTCCAGTATCAAGCAGACTCTCCCATCTCACCCCCCCCCCCTG